TGTTATTATTATTTTTTCCATTGTTATTGTCATTATTATTGTTATTATGATCATTAGAATTATTGTTATTGTTATTGTTATTGTTATTGTTATTGTTATTATTATTATTATTATTGTTTTTATTGTTTAAACAGTCTTTAGTGTACGCGGGCTAGATTAAAGAAATATTTAAACAATCGTACATTTATATAAACATTAAAAGACCGAAACGCGCGCGGAACTTAAAATAAAATTCGATTACTTTCAAATTTTAATTTCGCGATAGTTGGCCTTGTGTATTATAAACATAAACGCGCTCTATCTTAAATTTGACAATTACCGAGTTTGTTTACTTTTAGCCTCCGACGCGAATACATCTAAACTCTTTCTCTTCGAACGGAAGTAGTTATAAATTATTATTTTCGATTAACTTTCAATTGTTTAAACAGTCTTTAGTGTACGCGAGATAGAATAAAGTAATATTTAAACAATAGTACATTTATTTAAACATTAAAAGACGGAAACCCGCGCGGATCATAAAATAAAATATGATTACTTTCAAATTTTAGTCTCGCAATAGTTGGCCTTGTGTAATATAAACATAAACGCGCTCTATCTTAACTTTGATGATTACCGAGTTCGTTTTCTTTTGAACTCTGACGGGTAAAGTTCGTAATTCTCTGATTTTATTGACCTGGACAATTACCGGATCAATTCTATTTTGACCTTGGAGGAGTAAACATCGAAAGTTTTCCCTGTCTTTGCTGCAAGTATCAATGATTATTAAAGAACATTTTTGCAATCGCTCGCGAAACAGTGATATTATCTACTATTTTTATCGCATATATAAGACCATCGCGATGCAGAAGAAGTGTTCGTTCGTTCGGGTTTCGCGATTTAAACAACAAATGTATTTGTATCGATTGCGTGCGATGCAATCGGTAAAGTCAGTGTTTGTTCGCAAAGCCTTTTGCTTTTTTAACAGTCGTCCAGACTGTATTTTTAAAAAGATATTAGAGTTTGTTGAAGTAAATTCAGTGACTGTTCGTTACAAATTAACTGGAGCGTAATAAAGTCAGTGCATAATTGAAAAGATTTGTTGAACAACTTCGGTGTCGACCTACCTAATCAACAATTTCGAGTTAAACCGCGGACGAGTATTATGGAGCAATCGCAGAACTTCTTAAGTTCTAGAAAAAATAAATGGAATAAAAAAGAAAAAAAAAGAAAAAAAATAAAAAAACCAGGGCTCATCTGGCCCGGATGACAGCACCCTATAAGGGCCCCAAGCCAGGTTTACGTCCACGAGGACTAGCGGGTACGCTGACTCTGCCCGAAAGGGATGTGCGGTATGATACGTAAAGCTCGGTTCTCGTGGAAAATTCCCGGAGTCAACACGACGCACCTATGGAAGTGTCAGAAAGCCGATGAAGGAATTAGGTGAGCGGAAATAGCGGATGCTTCATTCCAAACCTTATAGCCAAAAGCTCTCTCAACAATGGGGGTAGTTGCGAAGGTGATCACCACCCCACCTCCGGAGACACCGCGTTCCGTGACGGCCAGGCACTCTGGAGGAAGAATTTTGAACACATGGAAAAACAAAGCACAAAAGAAAAACTAAACACACAAAACGAAATAGACAATAGACAACAAAACACCCCAGAACCATCCGGAAATAACATCGCTACTCAAGGCGACAAAAACGTAGGCTCTCAGTTGCGAAGGGGACACCACAAAATAGAGAGAGAGAGAAACTCACGCAAGCGATATTACTCCTTGCCAAAATGAAGCTGGCTATTAATAAACAGCCAAACGTAAGCAAGGAGATTAAGCAAGGGATCCCAAAACTGAAAGACATCGTAGACAGTCTCGAGTTCATGTATAAATCTCGAGAAAAGGGCAATAAGCGATCGAGGATCCTCACCCAAGTTTCACAGAGCCCTCGGGCAAATTCTACGACTGAGGCCAGCGCAGTTAAGAGAATAGCCTCAAGCCCGCCGCAGTTGTCTGAAGAAGTCCTCAAAAGACCGATGCAAGAGGCGACGACGACCGAATCCACCAAGTGGACGGTGGTCATGAAGAAGAAAAGAAATAAGGAGAAAGCAGGGACGAAGGCGACGAAACACCTACATCAGGAGAAAAAGAAGCCGATCAAATCGGAGGATATGCCGAGAAAGAGATCTAGGCCGGACGCAATCCTCCTGAAACCAGCGCAAGGAAAATCTTACGCAGACATAGTCGGAGTCATCCACCAGCGCATCAAGACCAGCGACGCAGGGGTAGACATTAGATCGGTCCGGCAGATTAGAGCCGGAGGGGTTCTCCTCGAACTAAAGAAGACCACCGTGGATATCAGGGCCTCATTCGCTGAAACCCTGAGAAAAGAGGTAGGAAAAACGAGCAGCATCACGGAAATGGTCCTTAGAGGTACACTGGAGATACGGAACTGTGACTGCTGCACCTCGTCGATAGAAGCCGTGGAGGCCCTAAAGAGAACCCTGGCAGGCTACGCGGGAAAAATCGAAATTAAGATGACGAACCCCAACGCAAGACAACAACGCCTGGCCCTCGTCAAAATAGAAGAGGGAGCAGCTGCGCAGCTTTTAAACGCCGGCCGAGTGCTGATCGGTTCTATCATCTGAAGGGTCAGGCGAAGTGCAGATGTAAGGCAATGCTTCCGCTGTCTCGACTATGGTTACTATTGTGCCTCGTGCAATGGACCTGGTCGCAGTAAATTGTGCTATTTATGCGGGAGCACGGGGCACAAGATCAAAGAATGCAAGATCCGAGAGCCTACTTGCTTCTTGTGCTCAAAGAGTGGTGCTGAAACTAGGAAGCACCTGGCGAGATCAAGGGCCTGCAAAGCTTTCCAGGAGGCCCTTGCAACAGCAAAAAAGTAAAAAATAGGATGGGAGTACTTCAGGGTAACCACAATAGGAGCAGGATGGCGCACCACCTACTGACCCAGCTCTGCTCTGAGAAAAAAGCAGATATTGTTCTAATCTGCGAACAGTACCAGGACAGAGCAGGAGTAGGATGGTACGCAGACGAATTGGGCACCGCGACCATCTGGATCAAAGATCCCCGACAGATACATTTGTCGGATCAAGGATCCGGACGCGGTTAAGTTTGGGTGAGACATAACTTGACGACATATGTCAGCGTATATCTCACCCAAAATTACCGGATAGACGACTTCTAGACCAAACTGGAGGATCTGGAAGACGCGCTGCGGGCAATGCAAGGGGATCTCATTGTGGCTGGAGACCTCAATGACAAAGCTCTTGATTGGGGGGAGGCCAGGCCGGACTCCAGAGGAAGACTTAACATGGAGTTGGCGTCGAGACTAGAGTTATCAGTACTCAACACAGGATCAACGTCAACCTTCCGCAGGCCTTGCTATAGAGGGACGATTCCGGATGTCTCTCCAGCCAACGAACACTTTGTGGCAAGAGTCGCAGGCTGGCAAGTAATCGAGGATTATACCGGGAGCGATCATCAGTACATCCTTTTCGATGTACATGATAGAAGGCCAACGGTGACAAGTGTAAAGCGACACCCCCGGTGGAACATTGCAAGAATGGATCGAGAGAGGCTATCTTCGGTCATAGAGGAAGGATGGAGATCCCAACAAAGTACTTCCGCGAGTTTATCGCCATTCGCACAAGCCAGGTTGATTAGCGCAGCAACCATCCAAAAGGCTTGCGCGATAGCGGTGCCAAAGAATGGCACGAAACGGCAGAGGCGCCCTGTATTCTGGTGGTCGAACGAGATCGCAGATCTTCGTAAGAAGTGTTTAAGGCTACGCCGTTTAGCACAACGAGCGAAGAGAGGCGACCACGAAGCTGCTCCTTTGGCCTTATCAAGCGGCCAAGAAAGCCCTGAAGTGGACCATCAAGGCCAGTCAACGACGGTGCTGGAAGGAGCTGCGCCTTGATGTCGACCAGAATCCGTGGGGATTAGGGTACCTTATCGTCTCACGCAAGCTGGGGACTAACACGCAAGGGACCCCTCAGGACGAGAGGACGTTGGATCACATCGTGCCTACTCTATTCCCCTCACAGCCGAAGAGAGAGATCTGCTTGGATGCGCCTGGCATAACCGAGGTACTGCAATTCACGGAAGAGAGCTACTCAGGGCCGCATCTTCTATGCGGAACAAGAAAGCTCCAGGTCCAGACGGACTTCCAGCAGAAATAATCAAAGTCGTCACTCAAAGTCACCCTGAGCTCTTGCTGAACATGTATAACACGTGCCTCAGGGGGTGCATCTTCCCCGCTACATGGTAGAAAGCGAGGCTTTTGCTCATTAGCAAGGGAAAGGGTCCAGTAGGGGCAGCTTCATCTTACAGGTCTATTTGTATGGTTGATACGGCTGGAAAACTCCTGGAGAAACTGCTAAGGCCAAGGCTGCACGCAGCCGTGAAGACAGCGGGGGATCTGGCCGCCCGCCAGTACGAATTTCTATCCACCCTCTCCTCCATCCACGCAGTTCAGGTGGTGGTCACGGCCGCTAAATTGATGGAGCGAGGCATTCATCGACTTCGACCTTTGTATCTGCTGGCCACCTTAGACGTGAGAAATGCCTTCAACTCCGTCAGGTGGGACCTGGCGAGGGAAGTGCTTGAACGTAAGTTCTGCGTTCCGAAGTACCTACTCAGAATTTTTGACGATTATCTAACCGAGCGCTTCCTAGTATACAACACGTGTGTTGCTCCAAGAAGCTTGGAATTAAAGTCGTGGGGACGGTATCTTTCGTATGGCAGTCCCAGAAGGTACTTTCTTGGTTGGGTAGGCAGATGACATTGCAGTCATAAGCGCTAGAGACACGGAGGGAGCACAGTTGTTACTCAACCAGGTCATGCGGAGAGTTACCATCTGGATGGAAGACCACGGTCTATCTCTAGCAGCCCAGTAGACAGAGATCGTACAAATTACGAGGAAGCGCATCAGCACTTTGCGCAGCTTCATTTTAGGAGACGCGGCGTTCTAGACTAAGTCGGCTGTCAAATATTTCAGGGTTATGCTTGTCAACAAGCTTAACTATGGAGTGCATATTATCAGGGGAGACGACAAGGCGGCAAAAGTAGTAGCCTCACTGGGTCTGCTCATGGCCAATGTCAATGGTCCCCGGCCATGCATGAGGAGACTACTGATGCGTGCCGCCGAAGCAGTGATGCTGTACGGTGCAGAAGTATGGGCCGAGGCGCTGCGAAAACAGAAATACAGCAAGCGCATAGCCGCGGTACAAAGGAGGGGCGCCCTCCGAATCGCGTGCTCTTATCGCACGGTCTCAGAGCCGGCAGTACTAGTACTACCTGGCTAGAATGAGGAAGGTAGGATACGCCAACTGCTCCTATGGGGACTCGATCAACGACGACGCCTACCACACATTTTTTTTATGTACTCGGTGGAGAGCCAAATGACTAGCCTTGGAACAAGACCTTGGAGACATCTCGCCGGACAACATCGTCGAGATATTGCTACGTGAGCAGAAGTAGAGGAACAAGGTGGCCTATTACGTCAGGTCAATCTTAAGCAAGTAGAAGAAGGAGATGGGTGGCGCATAGAACAAACACCAACTTTGCTCCTGATTCTTGCCACGTAGAGCCGAAGAGGAAGTCCTGTTAAGGGACAAGAAGCAGTGGCGCCATCCTAGAGTAATACCACATGGTGGTGCTCAGATGGTTTTATTATGCTGCTAGGATGGATATGAGTTTAGTCGGTAGTGACTTTTCCAACGGTGAGCCGGACAGGGATCAAGGGGTTTCAAGGGGGACATAAATGGTGAAGGTTCCCTATGTTACGCAGGGTCCCTGGGTTACAGCGTAAAGTTTGGCATTCTCAGTCCATCAAAAAAAAAATTATTATTATTGTTATTCTTATTATTATTATTACTATTATTGCTGTTAGAATTATTATTGTTATTATTATTGTTATTGTCATTATTATTATTTTTGTTATTATTATTTTTATTAATGTTGTTATTGTTAATATGATTATTATTGTTATTATTATTGTTATAATAATTGGTATTGCTATTATAATTATTATCGTTATGGTTATTAATATTATTATTGTTATTATTATTTTTATTATTATTGTTATTGTTATTATTATTATTTTCTTATTGTTATTCTTATTATTATTATTATTATTATGTTTATTGTCATTCTTAATGTTATTATTATTATTATTATTATTAATATTGTTATTATTATTATTATTGTTATTGTTACTATTATTTTTATTGTTATTTTTATTACTATTGTTATTGTTACCATTATTACATTTGTTATTATCACTATTGTTATTATTGTTATTATTATTATTTTTGTTTTTGTTAATATTATTATTGTTAATTTTATTATTATTATTATTGCTAGTACTACTACTATAACTGTTATTATTATTATTATTGTTACTGTTATCGTTTTTGTTACTGTTGTTATAATTACTATTGTTATCTTTATTCTTATTGTTGTTGTTATTATTATTGTCATTGTCATTGTTATTGTTATTTTTTTTATTTTTGTAAATGTTTTTGTTATTGTTATAATTATTGGTATTATTATTATCATTATTGACATTGTTATTTTTATTATGGTTATAATTGATATTGTTATTATTACTATTATTGTTACTGTTATTGTTATCATTTTTGTTATTGTTATTGTTATTGTAATTAATATTATTATTGTTATTTTCTTTAATATTATTATTATTGTTAATGTCAGTATTATTATTTTTGTTATCGTTATTGTTATTATTATTTTTATGATTATTATTATATTATTGTTATTGTTATTGTTATTATTATGATTACTGCTGATGTTATTATTATTATTGTTATTGTTATTATTATTATTATTGCTATTTTTATTATTATTATTATTATTATTGATATTGTTATCAATAGTATTATTGTTATCGTTATCATTATTATAATTGATATTGATATTATTAGTATTTTTGTTAATGTTACTATTATTGTTATTGTTATAATTATTATTACCACCATTGTTACTATTAATATTATTTGCTATTTTTTTTGTTATATTTATTATTATTGTTATTGTTATTATTATTGTTATTATTTTGTTATTGTTATTGTTATTGTTATTGTCATTATTATTGTTATTATTATTGTTATTAACATTGTTAATATTATTATGTTTGGTATTGAAACTACTATACATATTGTTATTATTATTATTATTATTCTTATTATTATAATCACTGCTATTGTTATTATTATTATTATTGTTATTGTTGTTATTATTGTTAATGTAATAAGTATTGTTACTATTATTGCTATTGTTATTAATATTTTTATTGTTATTGATATTATTATCTTTATTGTTATAATTACTGTTATTGTTATTGTTATCATCATTCTTATTGTTATTGTTATTATTATTACTATTGTCAGTTTTACTATTATTATCAATGTTATAGTTATTATTATTATTTCTGTTTTGTTATTATTATTATTATTATTATTGTTATTTTTATTATTATTGCTATTTTTATTATTATTATTATTATTTTTATTGTTTTTAATATTGTCATTGTTAATATTACCATTATTGTCATTGTTATTAATATTGTTATTGTTATTGTTATAATAATTATTATTATTATTGTTTTTGTTATTGTTATTTTTACTATTATTATTATTGTTATTATTATTGTTATTGTTATTGTTATTATTATTGTTATTATTATTAATATTGTTATTTTTATTGTTATTATTATATTTATTTTTATAATTATTGTCCTTGTTATTGTCATTACTACTCTTATTGTTATTATTATTGTTATTATTGTTGTTAGTATTATTATGCTTGATATTAGAATTACTATATATATTGTTATTGTTATTATTATTATTATTATTATTGTCGTTGTTATTATTACTATTATTGTTATTGTATTACTGTTAGTGTTATTGTTACTTTTACTATTATTTTTATTGTTATTATTCATCTTATTGCTATTTTTATTATTATTGTTATTTTTATTATTATTATTATTGTTATTGCTATTATTATTGTTATTGATATTGTTATTGTTATTAGTATTGTTATTGTTATTGTAATTATTAGTATTATTGCTATTGTCATTATTATTGTTATTGCTATTTTTGTTATTCCTGTAATTGTTATAATTATTGTAATTATCATTGTTATTGTTTTTATTATTGTTATTGTTATTGCTAGTATTACTATTACTGACATTTTTATTAATATTGTTATTGTTATTGTTATAACTATTATTATTACTACTGTTACTGTTATTGTTATTTTTACTATTACTATTGTTTTAATTATTGTTATTCTTATTGTTATTATTATTGTTATTGTTATTAATATTGTTAATGTTATTATTATTTTTGATATTTTTATTATTGTTATTGTTATTATTATTATTATTGTTATTGTAAGTATTATTATTTGTGGTAATGAAATCACTATGTATATTGTTATTGATATTACTATTTTTATTATTATATTTATTGTTATTATTATTGTAATTGTTATTGTTATTGTTCTTCTTATTTTTATTGTTAATGTTATTATTTTTGTAATTATTAATATTATTGTTATTATTATTGTTATTGTTATTGTTAATTTTATATTATCATTATTGTTATTATTATTGTTATCGTTATTTTTATTTTTATTGCTAATGTTATTATTATTATTATTGTTATTGTTATTATTAATATTTTTGCTACAGTTATTATTATAATTTTTGATATTATGGTTATTATTATTATTATTACTTCTATTTCCATTATTATTGTTAATATTATTATTAATATTACTACTACTGTTGTTATTGTTATTATTACTATTGCTTTTATTATTATCAATTCTATTGTTTTTATTATTAATATTGTTATTGTTGTTAATATTGTTATTGTTATTTTTATTGTTATTATTATTGTTATTGTTATTGTTATTGTTATTATTATTTTTATTGTTACAATTATTGTTATTATTATTGTTATTCGTATTATTATTCTTATTAATATTGTTATTTTTATTATTTTTATTACTGTTATTATTAATATTATTAATATTTTTAATGTTATTATTATTATTTTTGGTATTGAAATTACTACTTTTATTGTTATTATTATTATTATTGTCATTGTCATTGATATTTCTATTGTCAATTTTTCTATTATTATTCTTGTTAATGTTATAATTATTATTTTTGTTATTGTTATTATTTTTGTTATTGTTATTGTCCTTTTTATAATTATTGTTATTGTTATTACTACTATTATTGTCATTGTTATTAATATTGTTATTGTTATTGTGATTATTATTATTATTGTTATTGTTATTATTATTGTTACTTTTACTATTATTATTATTGGTATTATTATTGTTATTGTTATTATTATTGTTATTGATACTATTATTATTACTATTTATTCTATTATTGTTATTATTATTATTACTATTATTGTACTTATAATTATCATTACCACTGTTATTATTATTATTATTGTTATTGTTGCTATTATAGTTATTATTATTATTATTATTATTATTATTGCTATTCTCATTATTATTCTTATTGTTATTATTATTATTGAAAATGTTATTATAATTAATATTGTTTTCTTATTACTATTATTGTTATTGATATCGATATTGATATTATTATTGTTATTGTTATAATTATTGTTATTACTTTTGCTATTGTTATTGTTATTACTATTGTTATTATGATTATTAATTATATTTTTTTGTTGTTATTATTATTATGATTATTATTATTTTTAGTATTGTTGCTATTGTAATTTCTATTATTATTATTATTATTGTTATTGTTATTATAATTGTTTCTGTTAGTATAATTGTTTGATATTGTTATTGTAAAGATTATTATTGGTATTGTTATTGTTATTGTTATTATTACTGTTATAACCATTGTTTTGTTATTATTACTGTTTTTGGTATTATTATTAATATTGCTATTGTTATTATTATTATTATTGATATTATGATTGCTATTATTATTGTTCTTATCATTGTTATTATTATTATTATTGCAATTGTTATGATTATTATTATTGTTATTGTTATTATTAATGTTATTGTTATTATTGTTATTATTTTTATTATTATTATTATTGTTATGGTTATTTTTCTATTCGTTATTGTTATTGCTATTGTTATTGTTATTGTTATTATTATTATTTTTGATAGTGTTATTTTTTTAATATTCTTATGGAATTATTACTATTATTATTGTTATTGCTATTATTACTGTTATATCCACTGTTATTATTATTGTTTTTGTTAT